CCTCCTTTGCCTACAGAGCCTACCACCAATCTTTCGTCCTCATCCTACCATCTCCCCATCTGCTTTAGGCGCTGCCACCGACATCTTGCCTAGCAGGTGTTCAAGGCTCTCCTCCCTCAGCGTGCTCATATCAACATCGACACTCACAAATAATAACAACAACTGCCGCATTAACTCGACACACTAAACACAATTCGGAACGAATACGTCAGGAAGCCACACCCTTGAGTTTTCTCAATGCCCTTTGTAAAATGGCAACTTGGCCACGTAGGAACCCCCGTACCACTCCACTGCCACTTCTTCCACTCAAAGCCCGCAACCTCGAATCAATCTCCTCCTGAATCACATCACCGCACAGCTCCCGAGCCTCTTGTTCATGCTCGACGTTCCCCAGTGAGTCCCCAACCACTACATTCTTCAGTGACGCTGTAACGCCATGATCTCTGGCAATTTTGAGGCGCGCGGTAGTCGCAAAGCTGTGCGATAGCGAGCCATCGACACACACAAATAGGCCCCCTTCAATCAGTTGCTGTACAGCGTCTCCAGAGCTCCACAATTTCCCAGGTGACACCCGAACGCTTTCGAATTGACAATTTTCAGCATTCAAGTGGGAAGTAAGTGTAGAGAAACCATAACGCATGAGCAGATCTGTGCTGGCACACCCACTGTACACGACGAAGAACTGCTCGTTTTCGTTATAGTCTCGCATAGCAGTGAACTCATAGCGATGCTCACGAACATTATAATTCCCACAACGATTTTGCATACCACATTTCCCACAATTCTCAGTAGAGTAAGCCTCGGCGCTGTGATTGACCATGTCTCCTAAGGGAACCAGACAGACTCCACCAAGTCGATGGTAACAGCCTCGCGTCTCTATCGTCCAGTAGGCCCATTCAATATCTTCCATCGCGTATCTTCCTCCCGTAGCCTGGCGTATCTTTTCGCAGGAAATCTTGCACGTGCGCTCAGCCGTTTCAAGTTCCTCCGCAAGAACACTAGAGGCCGCAGAAAACATCTTCTTATCAGCTTCGGACCAGTAGGAAATCGTTGTGTACTCCAAAGGCAGTGTACGCAGATACAACGAGCGCCAGTCCGAGGGGCTCAAATTGCTGCGAGACCTCTCTAGTAACCTTAACAGTATCAACGAGAGCAGCTCCGCTCCGCTAAGAATCTTCCCCATTTTCATTATCCATTTCCGATATACTTCGGAATCGTCACTGAGGCAAGGACTGCTGACGTTTGCAGTGATTATGAACTTGTGGGGGATTCCAATAGCCACTTGTCCACTCTGAATAGCCGTCTTAACGCGTACACCCCTTCCTGCGCCACTGAACTCCTCCACAGCGACTCGGTTGAGCTCAGCCCCCGGGGTGGAGCGGATGAGGTCGAAGAGAGACCCTAGTGGGTCAGAGGCCATGATATAAGGATTCACTGATCCAATATGGAATATTCGATTATCAAAGAGGAAAAGCTCCCGGAGGTTACCACTCCGAGTACATCTTTTTGGCGAGCCGGGATGCACGGTACAGTTACATCCCTCCACATAT